AGAACTGCCACTTAGCCATTCGGGCCCAGCCTGTAGCAGTGCATGAGATTCTTTCGTCCTACGTGCAGGACTCTGCACTTGTCCTTGTTGAACCTCGTTAGATTTCTTTTGGCCCAATCCTCACTCTGAACCCTATCCCTACCCTCCAGCGTATCTACCTCTCCCCCCAGTTTAGTGTAATCTGTGAACTTGCTGAGGGTGCAATCCATCCCATCATCCAAATAATAATGAAGATGTTGAACAAAACCGGCCCCAGGACCGACCCTTGAGGCAATCCACTTGATACCGGCTGCCAACTAGACATCGAGTCATTCATCTACCCACACCCAAACCAAGTCCTCACACCTGATCCTTCCCTTCCCTGACATGTCCCACTAGGAAATGCATGAAGACCATCAGCATATTTCATCCACAAACTTTCAGGTGACAAAGATTTTTTCTACTGAACTGGGTGAGCTGGACCAGTGCCATAGAGGTGAACGGCTCCATATCCTCTGAGTCAACCAGTTACTCAGACCGTTGCGTGCCATGCATCCTATTTCCCTGTCCACTAACTTCAGCTCCTTGCACTGACCTGGGCTCAGATTCATACCAATGAGCTAGAGGTGTAAAGCTTCATATTCCAGTTCCCATAGAGGAACCAGTTCCCACTACATGGCTGTATTGCAACTGGGCCCAAACTGGAACCAGTGACCTAGAGGTGTATAGCTCCATATCCCATTCCAATTCCTCTGTGCCTCCTGTTTGCTCTTTAAAACAACCCAGCATCATCTCTTTTCCTTAGCCAGGAAACCTCCCCTAACTCTCACCCCTTCCCTCTAGAGGATGCCCCCATTTTCAGGTCACAGCCAAGTGAAGGTGGAAATCTGTGAACTTGAAGTGTTCTCCAAACCTTTCTTTCAAGGACATCTTGGACAATCTTATCAGGAAGGTTTGCATTCTTATCAGGGTTACTAATGGGCTAGGAAAGGCTCTGCACTATGTGCATATAAGGAGCAGCATCCCGCGTTGCACTGCATTTAGCAGCCACACTTTCCTTTCCCCACCAGTTTGGGTGTACAGGGACATCATGAAGTGGTTTCTGCTCCTGAGTCTGGTGGCGCTTTCTCAGTGCCGGGTGACAAAGTGAGTACTGGGGGGGGAACAAGAAACATTGGGATCCTGAGCTTGGCTTTCTACAGAGCAATATTCCCTTAGCAGCAGCAGCAGCAGCTCCTACATCTCTCTCCTCAATACTTCATTCTTTAATAGGCAGCTGGTGGGAACTACCCCTTGGCTGTAAGGCACAGTAGAGGTATGAGGAAGGATGGGCTTGTGGTTACAACACTGGAACAGGACTTGGAAAATCTAGGTTCATTCCCGGCTCTACCACAGACAGCCTGTGTGACCTAGTGACTGAGTCTCTTTGTGCCTCAGTTCTCTGGATAAAAATGAACATATGTCCTTTGTCCATCTTGTCTATTTCATCAGTAAGCTCTATAGGACAGGGGGACTGTCTTATACAATGTATTAGTACAGCTCCCAGCATACTAGGCCCTCTCAGTGCTACTTACACATGGGCCAGCAGTTTCCAAACGTCCTACGGGAATTATATGCCCAACTCACACTGACTTTTTGTGCACTGGTCACCCAACTCACCTATACCCTGTGCTAATCCCAGCTATAAAAAGGGGTCTCTGTGCAATGTAAAAACCGGATTGCACAGTATTCCCTGAATACAAGGCTTGTCTATTGTTTATTTGTTATTGATCGGCCTGTCTCCCTACCCTTGTTGATTAGGGTCTCCCTGAAGAAAGGGAAATCCCTGAGGCAGAATCTCAAGGAACATGGCTTGCTGGAGGATTTCCTGAGGAAATACCCTTACAACGTGGCCTCCAAGTATTTCCCCAGCCTGGCCAACGAGGCTTCCAGCGAGCCCCTAACAAACTACATGGACGTGAGTATGGCAGGAGAGCAGGTCTTGAAGCCTTCCTCTCCTCATCAAAGCTTCCCACTCCTCTGTCAACCAGGGCTGCCAGGGGGTGGGGGGGGAAGTGGGGCAATTTGCCCCAGTCCCCAGGCCCCACAGGGGCCCCCACGAGAATGTCAGAGGCTCCGCCCATCCCCCAGCGCCTCAATGGCTTGGACGGGACCTGAGCTCCTCCCGCTCAGAGCTGCGTGGTAAGGGGGCAGGGCTGCGAGCTCCAACCAAGCGGTGGGAGCTCAGGTCCCGCTGGAGCCACGCCACTGCAGCGCTGTCCAGGGCCGCTCCTGGATGCAGCGCACTGAGGCTCCGAGAGAGGGGAGAGGTGGGGGTAAGCAGCATGGTAAGCCCTCTGAGCTGGGCACCCCCCCCCGACCTC